TCACCAAAAATCCTCTTCATCATGATCAGACCTGTGTTGCGCTCCCTACACAACAGATACGAGCAGCTTTCACCTGTCTGGTTGAGCTGCGTTCCACAACACTAAGAACTTGGGGCAGGTCCACCAAATCTTTTTCTTCACATCTATTTCATTATTATTACCTTCCTTCTTGTGCTGCCCTTCCAAGCAGTGGGAGAGGCAGTGATGCTGCACCTTCCTGGAGAAGGATAGTCTGAATTCTCATGCGTTCCCTTGGTTGAGGTAGTGGGGCCAAGCAGATATTGCAGGAGGAAAAATGAGCATGGGATGAGGAGGAGACTGAACCTCTTAGGGAAGAAGCAAAGCAGTCAGATAGCAAGAAAAGAGAGGCTGAAAAAAAGAAAGGAGAAATTAAGCTTTGGAAGAAGAGGTGGGGAAACAGCTTCTGAGATGAAACTAGCATTTACTAGGGTAAAGACTGCTTTTCCCCCAGATCTCCCACTGGAGGAGACTCCTCCATGACCCTAGGCTTTAGCTTTGCTGCTCTAAGTTTAGATGTTTCTACTATTTATTTTCAATCTCCAAAGTAAATAACAGGACATGGTGTATTATCTGGCATTTGGAGTTATAGAAGACAAGACCCAGGGGGAATCACTTTTAATGTGCTGCCCCCTCACTTACTCAGACTCACAGTGAAAACGTGGGTATCCAGCCCTGCCGTGGGCATGAAATACAGTGTCTAAATTCAGCACTGAAATTAGTACCCTTAAGTGAATGCTAACCATGTACCCAGACAAAAGGAACGCATTTGTTTGGTCAGTAAACAACTTTTTATGGGCATGAAAATAATTTGGTTTCTATTTTCTCCCTACTAGGCAGATTTTATTTAGTCAGTATCAGGGCTATCAAAGGCTGTGCCTTTTTTCTCTTTGTCATGCCCCGTGCTCTGTGTTGCTGGAGCTCTTAGTGGTGCTTCAGGAGAGACACAGGCACAGGGCATGAAAAACCTCTGCTGCACATGGTCGCTGCTTTACTGGCATTGTAACACCCTCAGCAACCGACTCAGAAAGCTTAGAGCTGACTTTGCATTTTTTGGCCTTGATGTCTGGCACTGAAGTTAATTGGGATAATTCAGAGTTCACACCCATCTCCCCAAGGGGCTGGTTTAAAAATACATGTAATGTGAGTTTTAAAATAATTTCTTTTGATTGGAAGTATTTGGAAAAGTTCCTCTCCACTGGTTTTAAAAGGCGTCATTTTTTTATGAATGCTGAGACGTTGATTAATAAAATTCCGAAAGCATTAACTCAATTGAGTGGACTCCAACTTTTCCTTTCTTTATTATTATGATTTGTGAAAATAAATGCAATAAAATAGAAGTCCCAGCAGCTCTGTTAAACTGTATCCTCAGCAGTCTCCTTCCTGATAGCCCTACCATATGTTTTACGATGCTAGACACAAGGCCGTTTGCTCTTTTCTCGGGGGAAGGCCGAGCAAAGCCTTGGCTCAGCACCAGAATCCTTCAGCTTGTGGCCCTGTATCTCAGGCACATTGTACACTAGCCTGTACCCTGGTTTCATCTCCCTGCTTTTAAGACACCTTAGGAAGGAGCAGGTTCTTGGCTGGCTACCTCTGGTTGCCCTCTTCAGCCTCCCAGGAGCAGCTTAAGGGAGGTGATGCTCAGGTCCATTCTCTTTACCACGTGCCCTGGCATGGCCCTGGGGGTTCATTTAGGAGGATGGCAGCTTCAGGCTCTGGCTCTGCCCAGTGCCACCTCCCATGCAAGGATGGTCATGGCCACCCAACAATGGGAGACCCACCAGGGGAGATCTCCTTCCCTTGAGGCTGAGCTTCTGATTCTGCTCTTACCAGGTCTGCCACGAAACATGCCCTCTGAATGAAGGTAGAGAGGCTTCAAGCCTTTGTATTTAGGAGGGATGAGGGGGTGAAGACTGGGGGAAGGCAGAGGCAGGGACCGCTTGGGCTCTCAGCTGCTGACTGGCCTGCCAGGGAAGGATTTATTGCCCTGGTTGCATTTGGAACGCAAACTGCTCAGAATATCTATCCGTCCTACATGTCCAAGTGAGCTGCCACAGGAGATTCATCTGTAAGCTGGCCTACCTTCTTCTTGAGGTTTCTTTCTCCTTTATACTGCAAAGGCTAATATACTGCTCAAATTAAAGCAGGCCTGGGGACCGAAGACAGAGCTGGTTATTGAGTGGAATGGACTGATGAGGAGTGGGTAATATATTTAAAGACTGTGTAGGAGCCACTAGGGATGATATAGTCTGATTTATTTGATTTAGCATAATTTATAGGACACTAGACTATGTTGTGATTCTTTGGGATTTTTATCAGGAAATTTGCATTCAATTTTTAAGGATCTCTGGGCAGAAACACTCTCGTTCTCTTATTATTTTGGCTTTAAACATATCATGTACCACAGAAGAATTTATAAGTGTATAAAGGATTTTAATAAGTTCAGATGGCAAAAAAAAGGTTTGGAACCTAAGATCAGCAGAGGATGAGGATTCCTGCTTCACCCTCTCCCAAGAGCATGAGTGGACTTCATTAAAAAATAGGCAATGCTATATCTGCATTAATTCTCCTTTTTTTGTCTTTAGGACAGAGACAGCCTTGGCAGAATAGCCAACATCCAGTAGCTTCGGCTGTATAAATAAGCACTGGACCTCTCTGCTTGTGCCCACTAAAAAATAGATCTGATCTGTTGTGCACCTTCCTTTCTGAAATGGTCCTTGATATTAAGGCTGGAATTCTATTTAGTGGAATAGACGATAGTCCATATTTTTTTATGCTCTAAGCAAGATTTTTCCATCATAAAAAAGCTTGTGTTTTGTAAGTTAGTCCTCTCGTCATTTCATCCTCTTCAGAGACCGTCCCAAAATAGAGATACCTCAGGTGAAACTGGGGCTGTCGATACAGCAGAAGTGGCTTCAACATAAGATTGGGTGTCTAAGCACATCATTAGGAGAGACTCAATCTTTTTGTACTAAAAGTTTAAGCCTTTTCCATGCAGAGAGCAGGAAAGGGGGGCGTTCCCCAGACTGTGCCCTACTGAGGTACCTCATGATTCACCAAATAACTCAGCAGATGCCAAGATGTAAATATTACCATTTAACATCTTAATGTTCATGGAAGGCTCTTGATCTCAAATCTGTGACATGCCATGGCTTCAGTCACTCTGCTGGACCTTTCCATGAATTCACTTATTTGGAGGTTCCACATTTTTTGATGTTTGCATCCCACTAAAGCATAGTGGACTGCAGCCCTTGAGCCTCCAGCATGAAGGTGTTCAGTCGAGAAAGCTGAATCCCTGGTGATCTGCAAACTGCAACACTATTTAAAACCTTTGTTGACAGTCAAGCACACTGAGTGTTTAAAGTTTTAATAGGCTTAAAGTTAATTCTGGAGTCCACCAACATCTGCATACATCCATAACTTACGAGCGTCTCTTACTTGGTTGGTTTAGTAAATTGTACCTAAGAGTGTTTTTGGAACTTTGGCAGCTCTATTTAGAGTTTCATGATTCATCTGTGCCTTTGCCAATTGCTTCAGTTCTTTTCTTTTTGCTTCATCCTTTTATCCTTTACCCTTTTTCCCCATTGGAGAACACTCTTCAATACCTAATTCAGGGCTGGGGTTTGGAATGCACTTTATCACACACCTTTTCTGTGCCAAAACCCTTTACACACTCTGTTAAGGACAATTTTCCACATACTAATGTACTTATTTGTGAAACGGCTTTTAAAGTTGGTGTAGATGGCAGAATGCAAAGTGTGATGGTCCAAGTTCACTTGTGAAGGAGGAGCCTTGCTCCTTTCTCGCAGCTTACACCCCTGCCTTGTGCAGGCAGGGCTTGTTCTCCTGAAACCTCTCCCTCTTGCAATGCCAGCAACGCGGGCAGGACATCTGTGTGCCGTTTTGAGGAGAGAAGTGATGGGCTGGGAGCTGTGGGAGTGTCTGTGGATGGGAAGTGATGGGTGGGTGTGCACCATTAGTGGCAGGTCCCCAAGGTACCACTAGGTGCCTGACTTCTGGCCAGGGATATTGCTTCGTCTGGGAGGGTCCCATCAAGGAAATATAGGACAGCTGCCTGGAGGAGGCAGCAGGAGAGCATGGACGCTTCCAAAAAAACATCTTTTTGCCTTTGCCCTGGAGAGCCCTTAGGAGCTGGGCTGGGAGCCGCCAGGCCGGTTCATTGTAAATAGAAGAGTCAGTCTTCCTCGCATGTATGAACCTTTTAGTTTCTGGCAGCTCTTGTCAAAATAATCCTGTGTTCCTCAAAACATGTGAGCTTTTTTGGGCTCTCAAGAAGCCTGAATGCCTGACAAACTCAGCGCCTGCCTCTTCAGGCAGCTAGAGGTGGCGGGGGCACAAGTGCGATGCTGGCTGCATTGGCGGCTCTCATAACTTCCCTTGTTATTTTTATTGTCTGAGCCTCCAGAGTGCTTTGATTAGGTTGGAATCTTAGCTTTCATATTTATTTATTTTTTTAAAAGCGAGTTCCTAGCCCTTGTGGCTGTGGAAAAAGTAGCTTGAAAACATGCGTTGTGCTTTGGATGTGCTAAAATCAGAACAGGAACAAAGAGAGCCCAGCTGGGACTGCAGGCATGAGACATGGATTTTCTGTCTTGCAGAAGCTTCAGTCTTGTCGAAGTCAAGGTGTCCACACCATGTGCTGCAGTGCTGCTGCCTCACTGCCTCACAGAGGCATTTCACAGGGTCCGGGCTGGTGCACGCGTTGGTCATGCTGGGAACAATTGGTAGCAGAAGAACAAAGAGTTAGAAAAGGAGTTGTTTGTATCTCATAACAAGTCAGCTTGCTTTCACTTCGTGTTTCTACCCTAAACCTCATGATAGTGCATTTTCATTGTGTTAGGTTTTGATATCTACAGCCTTGTTATCACACCCTTGCGATACCCAGTGCAACACTCTTGCTGCAGTTGGCAGCTTGGAAAAATTTGCCTTTTTCACCTGAATTTGGCAGCATTAATCTGAAAGCACATGCCCTTTCCCTGAAAGGGTGCACCTCTCAGCATGTCTCATGGCTGGGCAGTGAAGCAATTAACGTGCAACAAGACATTCTGAGCTCTAATGAATAAAGGTCTAAGAATTATGCTGTGAAGAAGTCAGATGTGAGGTACAGAGCCATTAATTGTCAACAGCTTGTGCTCTGCTATCATTCCTATATCGAAATAAGGATGGTTGATGATCTTGTACTTATGCTGGTTGATTTGACTCAGGCAGATGGCTGACAAAAGGATTTAAACTGAAGTGAGACGGAGTAAGGGGTGGAAAAAGACACAAAATAGAGCCAGTCCCATTTTAAGAAAAAATTACTAACTCACAAAGAGTTAATTCAAGCAGGTTTATATTTATCTGTCTGATATGTATTTGTCTGACACATGTGGTCGATACAAAGAACTGACGTCTGCTCTGTCAGTAGAAGTATTTTATTATTATTAATAGCTATTTGCTAACTCTGGCATCTGTAGTCTGCCAGGCACTGTGCAAAACCCAAGGAAAGCGCAGTGTCTCCCCAGAGAGCTTATGGTAATCTGTTCTATTGCAACAATATTTTTTTAATGCTGTGTATAAATCATTCTTCTCGCAGTATTTAGTATAGAATTTTACACTTCCCCATTCATGTTTTCATGGCAGACAGATTTGCCACAGTGAAAACACTATGCAGTTCAATCCAGCTATATTTTATGGAGTTTCTTCCAGGCAAACCGTTGGAAACCATCGCTGCAGAGAGACCCTTAACACGCAGTTAACTTTGAAATCTGCCTAAGCATCATTAACTTTAATGGCCCTGAGCACATGCTTCCAGCTAAGCATATGCTGAAGTGCTCTCCAGAATGTAGACAGGATTAGGCCCATACAAACTGTTTTGAAGAAATGTGGCATAAACCTTCAGAGAGATTAAAATCCCCAAGGATTCACCCTTCCATTCAGGCCTATTTTCCAGTCTGAGGTATATGGAAATCCCTATTGACCCCAGGGGCCTTTAGCAAGGGTGGACTGTGCTCTGCTGCATGGCGAAGTGCTGCGGAACTGCCCTGCATGTCATGAAAAATGACTCATAAGAGAGTAGATGAGATTGTGATGGCCAATAGTGTAAGATAAAGATTTTAAATAACAACAACCAAAAAAAGACCTTAATTGAGTCTGACTAGAACTAAATCTGTAGTTAAATAAAGGCATATAATGAAATGGAAACAAGGAAAAAAAACACAGAAAAAGAAAATAAAACAAAAAAAAATGTTGTGTGCTAAATAAACTGTATCATCCAGTCTCCAGGGGGAAATAAATGAAAAAAAGATAGTATTGGAATAACTTTTAAAATGGAATAATGCCTAATGAGGTCCTTAGGGGACTATTTATGTAGACTTCATGAACAGCTTGATTGAAAAGAAAGCTTTGCCCACATTCCAAATTGTGTTCAATTTAGTCTTATTTATTTAACACCTGAAGCTAGCTTGCATCCACTGTTGAAATGCTATCAAGAAGCACTGGCTATACCTGGTGGTGCCCTCCTGACTTTTAGGGAAAAATAAACCAGCAGATCCATGATAGCACTTGCCTGATGGCAAAAGTTTTTTGATTCTCTACTGGGTCACTGACCCAAAATTACCCTGCATGTCTGAACCTTTTGTGAGCCTGTGGGGAGTCAGAGGCAGAAAGCCTTCATAATGCAGAGAAATATCTGAGCTAGCCTTTTTCGCCACAGGACCACGATGTGGAAAAGGGGGTGCAAAGGAGGTGGTGGTAAGGAGCAAATTCAAGCTCCTAGGTTGGATCACTCTAGATTTCTGAAGAGATGCCCTCACTGTAGGGATTTTTCTATTCTGCTAAAATCACAGAATCATTAGGGTTGGAAGAGACCTCTAGAGATCATTTAGTTCAACCCCATCTAGGCCAAGGCAGGGACATTTTGAGCAGGCTACACAGGAAAGCATGCAGATGGGCTTCAAATGTCTTCAGAGAAGGAGCCCCCACATAATTATAGGTAAGACCATTTGGAAAAAATAAATGTGCAAGGGCAAGTGCATTTATTTCTTGTGAGTCTCTTTAGAGGCAGAAGGCTTCAACAATCAAAGTCTTAGATTCCCCAAATGGCTACATTATGAGTGTCCTTTGTTTTTAAGAAAGCTCAGTAAAAGTTGCCTCATTTCTCTTTTTAGAATGTACCATCATAAACATCTTCCAATCATCAGATTTGGAAATCTTCCAAACATCAGGCAACCACGATATGGCTTTGTAGAGTGTTTTAACTTGTTTAACATGAAGAAGAGTCTGCTCAAACAGCTCTGTTTATAAAATTATTTGCTAAACAATCAAGAAAATAGTTTATTTAGAAGCACTAAATGACAAGATTGAGAACTGGAAACCAGTAAGAAAGAAGGGAGCAATAAAATACTAGGCACCCAAATGGCTGTGGCTTGATATATCTTGTCTCAGCTTTTCTTTGATTTTCTCCAAAAGAAGTTGGCAGTGACAATAGAAATGCTGTGAACAATGTAACAATGTGATGTACTCGTGCCAAAATGTAAATACAAAGGAAATTTCCTAAAATACTCTGTATCAAATTATCTGCAAGAACCAGAAAAAATGAATCATATTTTCAGTTCTTTGGAAACACAGAGAAAAAATCACATGCTGAGCTTAAGAGTTTATCTTTACATAGGTACAAATTCCGTATTAAAAATTTAATCCCAGTTGGAGAAGACCAAATGAATACTTTGGTGATGATGTGATGGATGGGATACTTTAGTGATGTGTTTCATTATGATCCCAGTAAAATGAATAAAACCAAAAAAACATCAAAAACCCAGAATGCCTCACACATCTCTTTCTCAACAACTAAGGATATAAATGAGGATGTATTGACTTTTAAATGAATTTCAAGTTCCACAAATGGGAGCCTTTTAGGATCAAGATATTAGGTGGGCGTGCAATGTGATATTTTTATAAGGCTTTCAGATATGGTCTTAATGCAAGAGGTTACAACCACTCAGATGGACAATAACTCTTCACTAACTCTGGATTAACAGTGGCATAGAGAGAGTATGTAGGGAGGAGAAAATAGTCTCAAGCCAAAGGCCCACCCTGTATGCCTATATATGAAGCTCAAGAGGCATAAAGACCTTAATCTACCTTTCCTTTCCTAATGCAATATGTTTCCACAATAAAACCAATGTCTCATCTGTATTAAGTTTATTCCTAAACTAATGTCTCTGGACTCATGGCTTAAGCAAACAGCATGCTGCCCCAGGAAGGCTCAGGGTCATAGCTGTTAAAACTTCTGGGCGCTTCGTAAGTTAGGTGGGTGTACTAGACACTCATTTGAACAGTTTTGTTTTCAGAGGGTATTGAAAGTTTTACTCTCTAGCATTGCTCCTTCTCTGGCCTATGGCCAAAGTACCAAGCCAGTATGCAGGCAAAATTGTATTTCACATCAATACTCTGGGCCTTGGTCACTATTCTCTTTTGATCTTGTAAGCATATATTGTAATACTGAAACAAATATTTACTGTTTGGTACACAACATTTTGTAGTCCTCCTGTGGTCTTTGATAAAATTCACTTCACTGCTCATGTTTTCCTAGCTAAAAGCTAGTTAACGAAACAGATGGATGATTGCATGCGTGTGATGTTGAACTCTAGAGGAAAGTCAAATGCTCTGCTTTTTTTCTCCATGTAAATTTGATCTGAGATCACTGGGACTTTGCTCTTAGAAGGTTCTTTTTTTCCTTAGTTAACCCAGTGGCTTCCAGTGGGTCGATGACAAGAAGACAAACTAGTCTAAGAAGAAAACTGTGTTGGTTCTCTCTTCCACATCTGGTCCTTAGTTTTTTCAGTGCGACCTTAGTTTTTTAGTGGCTACAATTGTATGAATAATATGCCTAAGTCAGTCCATAAGATTAAGAAAACATTACACATAAAACCTGTACCTGAGTTATTTTTCTTAGTTTCTCAACTCAGGAAAAAATAATTAGATTAAGTTCAACACACTCCTACAGCAAAAGGATATCACAGTATGCTCTGATGGGCAAGCGTAGGAGGCTGTAAATTAAGCGAAATACGTTTGTTGGGATCCTCCAGTTCAACTGTATGAGAAAGCTGGCTGTCTCAAAATAACTCTCGCTGCCCTTTTTTTTCTTAAGGTCATATAGACAGGGCATCTGGCAGACTCACGGTCTCAGTTCAACCAATAACATTAACCTTAACCAGCCCGAATACCAACTGGATCACCTCCTTATCTGTAGCAGAAGAAATCAAGCACAATTTCCTAGTTGCTGATATTTCAAGAACTACATGAAATAGTTCTATTTTCAGTAAATATCAAGGCCAGGCTGAGTGCAAGGCCTCCACTCCAAACACCCTTTGTGCTAATAAAAGCACATAATCTTTGTAAAGTAAGTCACTATTTCATTGTGAACAAGGGCATGGCAGTCTGCCCCTAAATTAAAAACTAAAGCCAAATCCCATTTGTTGTGGGTTATTGCTATAATCTCCAACTGACAATGACTGCATTTTATGAATCCATCAACAAATAATAATTTAATTTACAGCATGTCCGGGTCTGTTAAGCATCAAAGATGGTAACTCATAAATAACATCAGCAATAATTCTGCCGTCAGCCAAGGCCATTTCTGCTGTCAGTCCAGGCTCAGACTCAGCACTTCAGCTGGCAGCTGCTTGCACTCACCAGATAATGCTCAAGCATCTGTCTTTCAGGAAAATGGATGTTTCTCTTTCTGAGGGCAAGGGGACACCTCATTCCCTGCATGCCTGGGAGGAAAGTCTGCCTTCTCTTGGAGACGGGCAGCCTCTGGAGGCACCTGCACCATGTTGGCTTGAGGCTTCCAGGGCTTTGAGGTAATGTGGATGTCCCCCCCAGTCCCAGTGCTGTGCTGCTCCTCCTGCTTCACATGGGTGATTACTGGGCTCAGAGATGCTGCTTTTGCATGGCAACTATAGTAGCCTTTCCACAGGAGAAAGAGTCATTGGAGAGCGTGCTTCGCAGTCCCCAGGGTCATCTTATGGTACAGGATGGACAAATCAGCTAGCAGCAACCGCCTTCTTCCAAGGCACTGGAAAGCTGGAACTTTTCTAGTTCTTTTTCTAGTTCTTCACCATTTTTGATGCCAAATGTCATGCAGAGTGTGGGAAGCTCAGAGAAATGCTGCCTGTAGATCCTGAGCTGTTTACCTGAAAGAAAAACTCTCCTTCCTTTTAGGGGACCATGGATCTAGAGAGAAAACTTCAGGGTAACCTGTTTGTCCATCAGTACTTTGCATGCTTTTTATACCTATGTCTCCTCACTTGGACATGTTCTATGCTTGCACCCCACAGGCTTCAGTCCACCTTCTTCCCCCACTTGCTGGTCTTTGATGGACGTCCCCATCCTTCATCGATCTGAAACTGGTAAGGAAGTTATTGCTTGATTTTTGTTCTTCATGTTCATGTCTTCTCCAAGGGAAGAAAATAAAAGGCAACTGGGGAGCACAGGGGACAGAAAAAGACAGTGCTCAGTGTTAACTGGGAAAAATGTGGGAATGGAAGAACCCTTTATGCTATCAGGGCACGAGGTATGGAGACCTTTGCTAACAAACTCTGCCACCACAGCAATGACTCCCAAGTGTCTTGGTCGTCTGCAATTGGCGACAGAGATACATCTGCTCTCAACTTGTCAGCATATAACAGCACTCATAAAATTGCCTACACCCAAAATGAATTGGCTCTGTACTGAAAATATCCCCTGTTACAACTGGAGACGCTGAATACAGGAAATAGGCTGTCAAAAAAGTAACGATCCAACTTATGGCTTGATTGAACATTTTATCATCTTTAAAAGGCATGACAGCTGGTGTGAACTTTTGTATCAGATATCAGAATTCCCTGCTCCAAATACTTCCATGTGACTGGCTTTGGTTAAACAAGGCACTCTTCCTGAATTTAATTAGATAGAAACACAATTTAGGGGCAAATACCACCCTTCTTTTTACCAAGGAAGATGGCCTGGAGCTTTGCTTTGTGCCCAAGAGTCTTCCTAGCCCAGCTTTCTGGCTGAGAAAACAATGCGCTACATCCAGGAAAAATATGAAGGCTATATCTGTGCCTAGAAACTGTCACACTGGTATCTTTATAAATTGTACTGATACAAAAACAAAGTGCCTTAATTTAATTATGTGTGTTTTCTTTGGTTAGTTCTGGGAGGGGATCTGAGGACCTTTTTCCTATCAGACTGTCTTGAGAGGCTGAGGCCTCAAAGCAGATGCTGTCTGCACTAAGAGATGTATGCTTCTGCTGCAGGGCCTTGGGGTGCTCACTTGTCCTCTCTCCATGGGATGAGTCTGCTCTTCCCACATGCACTGCACTCATGGCTTGGTTATTTTAGTAATGGCAACAAATTCTGGGTGAGGAAAGATTATGATTGGGGCTGGGAAACCTATCTGAGAGGAAGACTTTATTCAGCAACTTTCTTTCTCTTCCTTCTTCCTTTGTGAGTTACCCACAAGCAGGTGGGACATTTTCCAACCTGGCCACCTGAGCACCGCATTCTGGGCAGATCTGCATCCCAAGCCTCTTGGAGTACAAGAACAGCACATCCTCCTGCCACAAATCCGCAGGAAGAAAGAGCTTGCCCTGGCTTGGAGCTGCTCCATTGGCCAGTGTAGGGGCAGGAGTGCAGGAGGCCCTGTGCCCCAGGGCTGGGAGCCTGTGGTGCCCTCACTGGGGAAAGAGATGAAGCTTTAGTACACGCGTAACGATGGTTTCTAACCTTTCTGCAGATCACACAGGGGAAGAAGACTTTTGCAGCTGTGTTTCTTAGTATAAGGTGCACCAAGTGCAGAAACACATTTTGAAATAATACAAGCACTTTCATTTGTATTGCCCATTAACAGTCCAACCCCTTTTAATGTCTATAAGCAGCCCGGAGTCTGTGGAGAGCTGCTGAACAGCTTGGTAAGAGCTTGCTGATCAAATCTGCTTGGTTGTGATCAGCTGCACGGCATATTCCCATGACAGTGGGGTAAAAGCCCTGCACCCTCCTCAAATAGTCTCCAGAATTACCTTCCAGCTTGCAGCTTTAGCACTCTTGCCTAAAGCATGTCTCCTGTATTTGTAAGTGAAAGGGAACAAGGAAGGGACATAGAAGACAGGCTGTGAAAATAATCTGACATCCCTTTTTTAAAGAAGACAAGACAACAGCCTGCAAAGTTTGGGAGAGCTAATGCTGCCAGCGCACTTGAGTGGGAGACATCTGCAGTGAAGGTATGCATGAACTCAAAGCCGCAGCCAAACATGCCTAGTGAGGTTCTGAATGAAGCACATTGAGGAAGAGGTAGGACAGATCCCTGCTATCATACTGAGCATCCTGGGAAATGGGAGTCCCAGGCACTGCAGGTGCAGGGTGGCAGGCACTGAACTCCCAGGCAGAGCTGAATCAAATGGCTGGGGAGAACTGGACAGGAAAACATGTTGCTGGAACGGTAGCCATCAAATTCCTCTTACTCTTTCTCTGGCACTTGGTTCTCTTTGCAAAATGTTGACAATGTTCCTTAGACAGAAGGAGACTAGAAATGGAAAAAGTAAGCGGATAGGCCGTGGTTATGGCTTATTTTCTTTCCCCGACAGGGGAGTATTGTATAACAGAATTTTGCTTGAGTATCAGTTTTATTCTTAAAATAGTTATTATTCTTCATACTGCATATGAAAAAAGAGCTATGTTTTGGGTCTAACATACTCGTTGATAACAGATGGCAAGTGACCTTTTAAAAAAGTAATAAATTTAAAAAAAGAATTTATTAAATCCATTCTAAATTAATTTAATTTAAACTAAATTAAAATTAAATGTAGAAGGCGATATGGGAAAAAACTTTTTTGTGTGTACTGGGGCAAACCAGACATCTGTGGACCCAAGGACTCTGAGAACAAAAATCTTTTGTCTTCTGCTTTCTGGTAAATGAACTAAACAAAGGTGTATTTTGGAGACAGTGACCAGATTCTGATATTGGGTGTAATTTAACACTGCCAGACTGCCATGTTTCCCAGAGTCAGAATGATATCCACTGAAAACTGAGTGTCTCTCTAAATGAGACATGTCCACCACATGATGCTAATATAGGATCAACAGTGGTAATGTATAATGCAACAACCATCCGAGTGTCCGAGTTCTCCTGTATCAAAACAAGGCCGCTGTGTTTCAAGAAACCTAAGAGCCTGAAAGAGATCTTGTAACTACAAGAGCTCTACTTCTAAATCCAAAAACTTAAGGAGCAAAATTCCCAGATCAATCTTTCTCTTTTTTTTTTTTCCCTACTTTGTTTTGTTTTTTTTTTTCTTGCATTGGAGCAGAAAGACTATCAAAAAGGCATCTCTCAAAGTTATTTCAATACTTCCTGCAGTTCTGAGAAAAGATATATAAACCTGAAAAACATGCTGGAAGAAGGGGACAAAGTAGCCTTGAAAGACTGTGGTTATTCATGGGCAGGTTGTGTAGCAGGGGCAATGTGCTTCATTCTGTGCAAGACAAAAGGTTTAAACAGTCCTCTCTTCAAATATATTACCCACATAAAAGACAAGATGTTGCACCTAATTCAGTTTGCATTCATTCTAACCCAGCTGAAAAAACTTCTGGAAATTTAGTGTGAGAACAGTTTCCAAAAATAGGTAAGAAGTGAAGGATTGATGACGGAGATGGCAGCATCCATGGGAAAAGGGTGAGACGGCCGCAGTACTCCCTCATCTTCTCTGTGCCCCAGAAAACTTTGTCTGGTTTTGCTAAGTTTTTGACTAAAAATGGAATTCTCTGGTATTATGCATTTTGTTTTCTTTCAGTCACCTTTCCCTGTATATTACCCCAGTAAAATAAACAAGTGCAAGGAGCTATAGCTTTGATTTTGAGGTGGCTATGTGTGAAATATACTGAGTTAGGAAGGCTATGCTAACCATATGTACTGTTGTATGTATGTCACATAGACAGATGACCATGAACAGGAAAATGCAATCCATCATGCCGGCACTTTCTTCTCAGCCCTCCTCTCATGTGCCTGCACCAGAAACCATTGATATGCACACATGTGTAAACAAAAGTTGGCATATTTCTATTGCTTTTGCATTTTTTTCGGATCCTTCTGTAACACAAGGATAACAATTGCCTCTCATTGTTTTAAGTGGCAATAATCCACTTGTAAGTGGAAAAACTACAATGCAAAGGTTTTAATTTAAAATCCAACACAGAAAACAGATTATTGCTGAAAAAAAACAAAGCTTTTTTATCCAAGAACCCTTTTTTAAATAATTTTCTTGATAAAGTTAGAGGCTAATAGCAGTGACCTTAAACTAAGTTTAATTAGGCACAGCTTGTATAAACTTCCCTGAAAACCTTTGCCAGGGTATTTTACTCTTCATCTGTGTGTCACTCCTTGCTAATGCTGTTGGCTACACCACAGCCCATTTTGTGATGTGGAGCTCCAGGTGAAGTTGCAAGCTTCCACTCCATACTGAGATCCTGAAAAAAGGAAGATCCTGAAAGGTCCTGAAAAAATTACATGCCCAAGGAAACCCAGAGGCTCTCACAAGAATAATCACCTATTTTAATGCTTCCAAAATGGAAGCTTTAAATGGCTCTGCTTCAGCTCTCCCAAAGTTACTTTCTGATGCATCAATCACATATACAATGGTCGAACTAAACTGCACTAAACAAAAGCTATTGACATATATCCTAAACCCACTACTAGAATACAGTGATCTTGAAACAAGTCTACTTGGCGAGCTTCAGAAATGTCTTGTCTTTCAGGCATTGTGAATGCAGAACTTATGGAGCTGGTAAGCCATTCAGTGTGCTGGCACACCAGCATATGAATTCTGGAGATTGGGAACACCAGTGGAAGGTTGGTTACACAACCAGATGCCTTAAGCAGGGTTGCTAAGTGGTTTAAATGAAATCAACAGTGTGCCACATTAAAGGGTGAACTATTGCTCATGACAACTCTTTTCCATGGGGCAAAGAAATTAAAGCTTCCTAGAAGCCTCTAAAGAAAAGAAATCAGTGGGCTCCCTTGAAAGATCTGACTCCTTAAAATTTATGTTACTGGTTTCTGGGGCCACTTTGAGCTGCTCCACTATTATTAAATAACTGACATTTTTTTACTGGCCACAGTTTCAACACTTGGGTAGTTGAGTTGTGCAGCCCCTGGAGTGTTAGTAAGGTAAGTGGTGAGATGCATTTCCCTTCAGGTTACGCACAGTTCTGTGCTGTTGGGGCATCTGTTTGTGAGCTCTTTCCCCTGCTGGCCCATCCACATGGACAACAAGCAGCACCATCGATTGCAGGTGCTTGGTGGCACCATCCTCACCACTGGATGCATGCACCCACCATATGCATGGCTCTCCCAAACTGAGAGTCCTTTCTTCCTCATTTAGCTGGATTTTCATAAAACAACCTGTGGCTTAAAAGAAAAAGAATGGACTTTGGGTGTAAAAAGCTAGCATGCTGACTCCACACCATCTGGTGACTTAACTGCAACCATACAGCACAGCACAAGTCCTCTGAGGCAAGAGGTGACTAATAAGCTGCAGAGAGATCCTGAGCTGGTTAGGAAGTAACATTAGATTTCTGCTGTCTTCACTAGTTAATGTGATATGTAAATGAGTAACATATGATATGATTTGAAGCCCTTGCTGTCTGTAGGAAACATATGCCAGTGTAAGTGCTTTGGAGGGGGTGGTTTCCCTAATGAATATGCTCTTTGTTTGAGAATGACAGTGGAGTCCCAGTTTTCTTCTATCATGTTGTCTAAAGCAACAGTTGTTCCAAGGGGTGGAAAATGTTTGAAATTTGAACAGGATTGGCTCCATTAGCCTGAATTTGTACTGTCACACCCTGGCTTCCACACTGCAAGAAATCCTAGCCCCTTCTTCAGCTGCTGGAAATGGACTTTACAGTGTATCTCAAGCCAATAAGAAATCCCTGAATCTGCTGATTTCCACCAAAGCTAGAGTTAACATAGCAGACATTTGAAAGCAAATTTAAGACAGAAATTTCAGAGACACCATGAGTTAGATTTTCACACTGGACTGAGGCACTCAGGCAAGGGGCTTGTTTTTTGACCCAGCTCAGTGTTTCTCAGCTCCTGTGGATTTCTGTGAAGACTAACAAACAGTCAGCATCTTTGCAAATCAGACCTATAGGAAGGTTCTGACTAGGAGCAAAGGACACTACTTTTAGGCATCAAGTTATCAAACTGCTGTATCTAAGCTTTCTGCTGTGCGGCTCATGTTCTTGCAGTGAGAGCTACTGAATACCCAATTATCTGGGGAGGTGGTCATCATGTCTTCCTGCTGACTCCCCATTTTAATGTCTTGTGTCTTCTATTTGTTCATGTGCATGGCCTTCCTGTTTTTTTCTTATGTTAGGCCTCTGGGGAGGGGTTTTTATTGTCAAAACTGGTAGAAGGAAGAGAGAAATGCAAAGAGACAGAATACAGCCTCCAGTCATGTCTACCTTGAAGAGGATGGATTGAATTTCATCCTGAATGAGCAAATTTTGAGGAAATCTCAAATTTTCTAGTATTTTCCCCAGCAACTTAATCCCTAATGTCATACTCAAGTAGTTAAGAAACAGAATCATACCACAAATCTTAGGGATCCAGTCAAAACAGCAGGCACTTCTGATGATAAAACATTGCAAGGTGTTTCCCAGGCAGATTTAGAGCAACAATTCTTAGTAAGGGTACTTTTGCAACATGATTAAAAATAATTAAAATTCAAATAAAAATTAAATAAAATCACCCACTGCAGAAAGAGGAGTGGTTTCTACATCTTACATAAGTTTTTCAGTTTAGATTCATTTCATTCAGGTGTACTCCTGGGGAGCAATAACAGCATATCCATGGATTCTCACATTTTTTCAATGTGCTGTGAAAACATCTGCTAGTACTCATCAAACTCCTCTGCGGTTGGTTGTCCCCATTTTACAGGTTGAAGGAATTAAAGAGGCAGGTTTAAAGGACTTGCCCAAGACCACACAGAATCAGATGACAGAGTAGGTATTAGAATCATAATTTCCTGGCTCTACTTCCAATTACTTTGCGCCAAGGAAAGGTCTTTTTTTCTAGCATAACACCTTGGTTATTTGACTTTGCTCTTTCTCTCTCTCTTTTACTCTTGCTCCATCTCACCTAAAATGTAATTGAAGAAAAAAATATCTCCCCTTTAGTGTGCAGCTTTGTATTTAATCTGTGGTGCCAAACAGATCAAATAAATGTTGT